CAGTGTGTGTGTGTGTGTGTGTGTGTGTGTGTGTGTGTGTGTGTGTGTGTGTGTGTGTGTGTGTGTGTGTGTGTGTGTCTAGCCCTCCCCCTCGCCCTCCTGCAGGATGTGTTTCACCAGATACTCTCTGACGGTTGGCTGGTTGTCGAGCCCCTCCCTCTGCTCCTCCTCCTTCAGAAGCTCCTCCCAGTGCCGCTTGTCTCTGCCCGTCAGCCACGACAACCGAACCACCGTCTGTAGCAACGGCAACAGGAGGGGGTGTGGCCTGTCGGGCTTTTCAGTCAGTGGGTGTGGCTTATTTTGGAGGGGGAGGGGCCTGTCCTCAGTCTCAGGGGGCGTCAGGACGCGCAGGGCGGAGTCAACGTGATCCCTCGCCTCCTCCAGCTGCTCCACTTCCTGGAAGCAGCTCGCCAGCCCCACCAGGGTGAAGAACCAATGGGAGGAGGCCGGGGCCGGGGCTGACTGAGACTGGTTGTCATAGTAACTCTCCCATCCCAGTTTGTGTTGCAGTCTCTTGGCGTTGAGCAGCGGACCCAAGGCCTCCTGGTAACGTCCCACCCTCAACGAAACAACACAAACTTAACTCTGGACACTCAAAATGTCCGTTTTCACAATACTTCTGAACTTACATTATAAAGAGGCTCAAACTAACCAGCTCTCCAGTTCTCCTCCCTCACTTGCTCAAGATGCGTTCAGGCTCTACGCCCAATTGAGGGACATCACAGCATCAAAAATAACGTCTTTACCTCATCCTTCAGTTAGGATGGGTATCCGTAGGACTTTATTGAAAAGGCTTGTTTTTTTTGTACTACTTATTTGTCCACTACATTATTGTAGAGCACAATATGAATTGATTCCCTGCTCAGCCTTAGAGTCTACAAGAATGTTACATATCTTATGAGTTATCATAAAAAAAAAAAAAACTTCATTTCTTGAGCACATATATGTTAGTATCTGGAGTGGTTGGTATGAAGGGTGGTTGCCAACACACACACTTCATATGAACACATACTGCCCCCATCGAAGTGTCTCAACCGATGAATTGAGAACGACCTTCACAAAAGTGCATCACATTGTTTAGGGGGGCTTAAAGAGACATGCCTTTAAAAATGTGTAAATACGGGGATGAGAGGAAAATAATGGGTGTTTTTTAACATTGAAGCATATAAACATGTTCGAGGAGAAACCTCATATCTGGAAATGTATATTATATATATATATATATCAGTAGCCTGTTAGCCAGGTAGCAGGATTAAACACTATCCTTTAACAGAGCGGTGACTCGTCATAATCACAGGCAAAATTGAGCATTACCGTCATTTTAACTTTATTTTATATTCTTGGATGACAGCACAATGTGTAGATACAGTTTCTGTTGGTGTGTGAGTTACCTGATGAGCATCTGAGCGGCCTGCAGGTCGGTCAGGTAGAAGAACTGTCTCACACACAGCGCCCCCCGCAGGGCAGACAGGGAGCACAGGTGAGACAGGTACTGCTCGAACGCTCGACTCCGCTTAGCGATCGTCTCCGCCGTGAAGTTCCTGCGCAGCTTCTTCCCTGCACGGATCAAAACAGGAAGTGCGTTTAGGAGTGATTTTAACTGCTGCAGGAAACAGGAAACATGCAGGTTAGCCATCATCATTACCTCTAAGGTTTCTATTTTTACTTTCTTTATCAACAAAAAGGTGTTTCAATAGTTTTGGAAGAAACTAGGGCTGACCTCAGTGGGTATATAATTCAGGATGCTGGAGGGTTTCATGATTATTGAATTGATTATATTTCATAATAACTCTCATTATCCATGAAAATATTTTAACTGATAATGGTGGGATTATTTTATGAGGATCTGTAACAAACAAATACGTTTTGATAAGTCTGTAAAACAATTTGTAGGGCGGGTTATCTCTATAGGCCTTAAATATCGCACTAGTTCATACTGTATGGCAATTTAGATCAAGTTGGGATTATTTGTGCAGCCCTAATAGAAAGACAGCAAAAACAGCAACTTTGTACAAGCCAGGAATTATTAAAGTCCCTTCAGAGTTCAGATTTTGAAATATAGGAAGTCTTTGCAACTTTCTTGGTATAAATATTTATAAAAAGGTGCCATATTGCTTGACTTCTTAACTACGGGAAATTCGATGTAAAATCCAAGGATATTTATTCTTTATGGCTTTTTCCACAATAGATCTCCTTTAAGGCGACATATTGATTCACAACCTGTCCATTGTTTTTTATTACTTTTTATTTGTCACCAGTTTGCCATCCTGAAAAAAACGACATCCATGGTTTCACGCTTGGACAGAAGACATCCTTTCTACTTACGAGGGAAACAGACGCGCTCCATCTGGTCTCCGTGGTTACGGCGTAGCGTGGCGTGGAGCCGCTGGAAGTCGGAGTATCGGCGAGTGATGATGGCGGGCGTCTTATCGCTGCCGCCGGACAGGATCACGTGGATTGTGTAGAGCTGCAGAGAAACAGATATTAAAAGGTCTATTATTCTGTTTTTCATCAATATATTACAGGTCTCAGAAGTGTTTGTCTCCAAACACCAAACAGATCATTGCAGCATTACCCATAATCCCCTCTGTTTCAGCCCTGTTTCCAAAGTGCTGATTCTCTGTCTGTTACTTTAGATAAAAATAAGGAGCCCCTCCCCACGCCCCTCTGAGAGATATTTGGTTACAAAGAACTCAATGGTGCTCTGGAGGAGATTCAGGTGATAAGGTGGGGGGGGGTTACCTTGGTTGCTGATTGGCTAATGGTTACACAAGCCAAAACATCGTTATGACATCATAAAGTGGCCAAAATCTGATCAGCTCATTTTCAAACAGATTTTTATAGAAATGGATGAGGACAAAAAGAGAGAGAATCTTTGTTCCTGAAACTTTCAGAGTCTCTTTCCACAGAGGGGACACATGTTGATGTAGAAGAGACATGAAGAAGTGGATTTTGTATAATAGGTGACCCTTAAATAAAATAAATGTTTTTGCGAGGCTATTTGTGCCGTACCTTCTCCATGATCCTGTCCACTTGGCGGTTCTGGGTGTCGATCTCCTGGCCCATATCCAGAGCCATGTGGCGCAGGTTCCCGATGATCCCGCCCACCTGCTCCAGGTTCTCGTCCATCTCGTTCTCCCGGGCGTCCTCCGTTACCCTGAGAAACACCGGGGGAGGAGGAAGGACTGGTTATAACGGACTTATAGAATTAGAAGCAACACCAATTATAATGCTTTTCATCAAACACATAATACAGCAGCAGTGCTTTAAAGTGGGATCAAGACATGATGGTTCTAAGGGGTTTCATGGGGTCTGGTGGTCCGTATTTAGTTAATTATAGACTTATTACTGAGTTTTCCCTCTGAAGGGGAAACCTATATAACACGCTACAGGAAAGGGAGAACCCCAAGGAGCATAATTGGGCCCCTTTAAAATGAAAAAGCCCCAAATGTCCCTAGTGAGGAACAGGGGTTAATTATTTAAATGTAAATATATTGTGACCTTTGAGGATTAAACAACAAGGCACACTTACTCGTTAATAGTAATGTAATTTAAATATATAGTACTACTAAAGATTCAGTTCCATGGAGAGCAAGGAACCGAAAAGTGAGCTGGATAAGAAACCCTGATAATTCTCCTGGTAGCCTATGTCATTTTGTACTATATGAATATATAAAACACTGCTTTCTTTGATGAACTCTGACTTCTTGTTGCCGCAGACTGAGCAGAATTTGTCCTTATTGTTCTGTTTTAATAGCAATCATTACCAAGGGGAACAATACGATAATAATACCGTTATAAAGTCACCGTAATTATGTTGTAACGTTTCTTGAAAGGTCACAATGGGCAACCTATTCCTGGATAACTCCCATTATGTAATTTACTATAATTATATAGGTATGGGGAGTCGTATGTGTATTACAGTATCTGTTGGGAAAATACTGTATGTACTCTTCCAATATCAGAGCTGTTGATCAGAGTTTGAAAGCTTGAGTGAATAAGTGAGTTTTGAGAGTGTTGGCTTTTCACTTATTTTTCACATATTAATAAGATAACAGTGTGTGATGACTACTTCCATTCTTGCAAGGATAATAAATACACACACACACACACACACACACACACACACACACACACACACACACACACACACACACACACACACATTATGTAATTCCCTATAATTATAGTTGTATGGAGAGTCGTACGTGTATTACAGTATCTCACACTGTACACATGCACTCACACAAACAGAAACCAGCTACACAGGGGGGGGCACACACACACACACACACACACACACACACACACACACACACACACACACTCTCTTACCTGCGGATGAAGCCCCCGCTGATGGCCATCTGCTCGCGCTCGTCCATGACTCGGGCTCCTGGCTGAGCGTTCACCACTCCGTCCTGATTGGCTCCCCAGGCCTGGCCCCCGCCTTTAAACCTGACACACACACACACTTCATTAGGACCAGAGCAACTGCAGTACTGTGTGTTTGTGTTTATATATTTATATGTGTTCATTTTAAGTATGTGTGTTTACTTGTTTGTGAGTGTAATTTAGGGCTGATTGTGATCAGAGTGTGCATGTAACTGAGTATATTTACTTAAGTACTGCAGTTTTGGAATTTAAACTCGACTTTGTACATTTTTTTATTAATTCTGGAGGAAATATTGTACTTTTTTGTTTATACATTCATATGTGTTCATTTTAAGTATGTGTGTTGTTTACTTGTTTGTGAGTCTATTTTAAGACTAGTAGTGATGAGAGTGTATGACGTCAGCAGTGGTGCAATGTTACATTATGTCAAATATGGAGTTAGTTAGTTCCTAACCTGGAAGTTGCTCTTTAAGTACTGCACTGTAGTACACATGTAAGGTAATTTAAACACGACTTTGTACATTTTTTTATTAATTTAGGAGGAAATATTGTACTTTTTACACACACACCAGTCAGGACCAGAGGAACTGTGTGTTCGTGTTCATTTGAAGTATGTGTCTACTTGTTTGTTATTAGTAGTGATGTTGGAGTGTGAGTGAATGCTGTCAGCAGTGGTGCAATGCAACTATTTACTACTAAGTAAAAGTTTACGGTACTTTACTTACGTTTTTTCAATATTAATTCGACTTTACACTTTTTAATTGTATAGGGGAAATATGTACATTTTATTGCACTATATGCATTTAACATGTTTTGTTACTTATTTCACATATAAAAACACATGATGTGCAGATATTAAATTATGCAGTACTGTACTACTTTTGTAAACAAAATTATTTATGAATTGTTAAAAATGAACTAAAAGTACCACATTAAAATGCTCTTAAATCTATTTGTTAGTCATAAAAACTACCTATAATACTATATTTTTTTAAATAAGAGAATAATTTATAATAATTTCACCCTAAAAAAAACATATATATAATATTACTTTTATTGAAGTAAAATATTTTAATACTTCCTCCACCACTGCTGCTCACTATGTGTGTGTGTGTGTGTGTGTGTGTGTGTGTGTGTGTGTGTGTGTGTGTGTGTGTGTGTGTGTGTGTGTGTGTATATGCATGGTTATGTAAGTGCATATTTTCTGGCAATTCACTTTTTAAACATATACATAATGATATGTTTTGAATGCCTTGAATCCCACGGCCACTTAGCCCTCTAAGAAGCTTGATAAACGTACAAACATGCATTAGCAGTCTGCGAATAATTGATCCAACATGCAGATNCTAATGAGCAGGTTGGCACCTTGGGTGGCAGCCTCTACCGTCTACTGTGTGTGTGTGTGTGTGTGTGTGTGTGTGTGTGTGTGTGTGTGTGTGTGTGTGTGTGTGTATATGCATGGTTATGTAAGTGCATATTTTCTGGCAATTCACTTTTTAAACATATACAACATATACATAATGATATGTTTTGAATGCCTTGAAATCCCACGGCCACTTAGCCCTCTAAGAAGCTTGATAAACGTACAAACATGCATTAGCAGTCTGCGAATAATTGATCCAACATGCAGATCAATTGAGTCAGAGAACAACACGCTCTCATGTGGCTCGTGTTAGAAAGTGATCACGGTCCAAGACTCCAGAAAACCATCTCCCAGTAGCACACAGAGAGGAGCTCACAGACACATATATATATATATAGATATAATGACAGAGGACACACACACACACACACACACACACACATGCAAAGTGAGAGGACATGCAAGGCGGATAAAACACAACGTGGGGAGGGGAAAACATGTAAAGAGGAACAGGAACACATTTCTACTGAAAGAAAGGCGGACAGTTAGATCAGTCGTAGAAAACAAAATGAAACTTTGCATGCAGGAGAGTTAATGCATTATCAGTGATGAGCCCTTCATTTCATCTGGATGGATAACAGGGTGATACACTGTATACAGTCAAATAGGCAAATCCAATTCTTTATTTTATTATGCATGGAGTATCTGATGAGTCACCACTGAGCACAACACAAGGACAAAAGAGGATTTCAAAGTTGTGTTTGTTCAATTTGTTGATGAAAGACAACCGCGCTGCAAGGAATAATCGATTAATCGTCAAATGGTAAAAAAATTGCTTGGTTGGAGTAATTTTTTAAGTGAAATTCTTGTATTTTTCGGGTTTATTTGCCCCTAAACGACAGAAAACTGAATGTTTTTTAGTTTTCAGACAAAATAAGAAACGTCAGCATGTCTTCAATGGTTTTGGCAAACACTAATTATATATATTTAATAATTTAATAATCCAAACAAGTCACAACGGGTTATTCTCTAAGGGGGAAAAAAGTTAAAATTCTTTGGTTTCAGAAGCATTTGAATATTTTCTGACTTATTTACTCCTTATTGACAGAAAACTGATTATTTTTGACTTTTTACACAAAATAAGAAACGTCAGCATGTCTTCTTTGGTTTTGGGAAACACTAATTAATATATTTAATAAATTAATAATCGTAACGAGTCACAATGAATTATTTTCTACGGGAAAAAAGGCAATATTATTTGATTTCAGGTTAAAAAACTTCAATATTTTCGGAATATTTTTCAGTTTTGGACACGATTTGACATTTTAGGGTGTAATCTTTGGCTTTGGTAATAAAAAATAGACATGTTTTATGTTTATAATCCAAACAACTAGTCGATTAACCAAGAAAATATTTGATTAGTTAATTTTGAATTAATCGAAAAGTATTACGATTTCAGTTTGAGTCATTTTTAAAGAATTTAATAACAAAATATTAGATTGCAGTTTCTGAAATGTCATTTTTTTTGTTTTCATTACTCCTATGACATAAAAACATATAAATATGTGGAGTTTTGGACAAAATAAGAAATGTCAGGACATCATCCTGGACGTTGAGAAACCCTAAATGTCATTTTTTCAAACCAAACGATTAATCTCCAGTTGCAGAAGACCTTCTATGCAGCATCGTTGTTGTTGTTGTTGATGTGGAAAACCATCAGACCCATCAGGTGCTCCAGTTTATAACAACAAGCAAGAATTATTTTTAATGCTATTTGAACTTTAAAGAGATCAGATGAGACAAAACCACAGGAATCACAAAGTGTTTCATGAGCGGGACGACCAGAGAGCTATAGAATAAACAAGACCTGAACCAAACACATATGGAGGCTCTTACACCCTCCTTACACACTCCTTACACACTCCTTACACACTCCTTACACAGTCCTTACACCCTCCTTACACACTCCTTACACACTCCTTACACACTCCTTACACAGTCCTTACACAGTCCTTACACACTCCTTACACATTCCTTACACACTCCTTACACACTCCTAGATGCATATTTGTTGTGCACTTAGGCAAAATGCATACATAGGTATTAACAGTAGGCATAACATTGTGTTTGTTCCACTACAGGATAGGCTCTATTTTCTCAGGAATAAGGTGGAAAAGGCATATTTCATTATAAGCATCGACTGAAATTAATTGCAAAATATTGGTTATCGTTATCAGGCAGGAATCCAGTATCGTGCATCCCTAACAAAGGAAAAGAAAGTATATAATGGACCATTCGAGGTCTGATCTGAACACAGACCTTTGGGCGTAATTAACACCTCTTTAAAAAACAAAAAGACCCAGCATACTCAAAACTAATACCGGGAAAATACTGCATTGAAATGAAGGCTTCTTTTACTCCCTGATGAATGTCTGAGAAACTTTATAAAGTTTGTGTTTCTTGGTTTGTCCGCCACTTGTGTTTTCTATAGCTCTGAGATAATAACAACTGTATACAGTACATGTCTTGGTTTAATAGTATTATAATACGCATGATTTGGCTGTTATTGCCAGACAAATCAAACAGATACAGGATTTAAAGGGTTTTCAGAGACAGTTTGGATGTTTGGAAACAGTATATGGTGTACAGGATTTAAGGCACAGAAGAAAAACAAAGTACTGCTGTGGACGCAATACAAATTGTAGAATTAAACAGTTTTTTAATGTGGTTAAAATATGATTATCTGATGCCCCTGTCCACTACTGTACTTTGCTTGGCTTCTTGTTGGTACTCTCCAAACTACATATCCCATAATCCCTTGCGTTATCCATAGTCAGTACTGTTGGTAGACTGACTATGGATAAGAAACTCATAAAAAGGCCCCTAAAAACATCCAAAATATCATTTTATATTCAAATCTAGCACCAAATAAGGCAGCCTATAGTTAAAACCTTTAATTGACTGTTATTTATGAACTAAATCACCTTCACCTTTGTAATCAGAGTGCACCCTGACCTATGCTAATGGGTACACACATATATATATATATATAGAATAAGTTAATCAATTATGTACAGGTTCCCAAAAAAGGAATAGCTTGAGGTTGTGGCAAAAACTTGTTTTAGCTTTCCTGCAGATTATTAAATGAATAATGAAACGATGCACCTCTAAGGTCTGTGAGCTAAATAAAGTAAAAACGCCTTCTTTTAAAAACTCCAGGAACTATGATAAAGGTCTTAACTTAAAAGAGCTCTTTGTAAGAAGTTACTCTAGTTAAAAAAAACGTTAAAATACCAGAGTTTTGCAGCAAAATGTTTACAATTCAGATAAATAATTTGGCAGAAAAGGCCACTATTCTTTGGATGGACTTAAAATCAGATAACTTTCTTACTGCAAGAGCCTCTTGTAAAGCAATTACTTCCTGTAAAAGCATTACAAACACCAACAGTTTTCACATAAGTAATTTAGCAGAGAAGGCCACTATAGTTGATTTAATCTTTGGTTGGACTTTGAAGGTGGGGTTTTGGGAGGGGAGGGACGGCGGACGCCATTTTCCAGATCCACGCTGAAGCTGACCTGCTGGAAGGTAAAGAAGTCTCATCCAATGAATGAAGGGCTTTTGATGAAAACAGCAAATAAAGTGGCGTTGTGCAGATGTGTGTGTTGTTCATGCATGCTCACCCAACACCCCAACACACACACACACACACATGCTGGTTGCCTGCTCCGAGAGTGTGTTGTTGCGGCTATAAGGGCCTGTTTCTACACACCAGAAGCAGGAGAAACACATGCAGTCGGGCAGCACCTACTTGTTACAGGGACATGAACATAGACCACAGAACTGTCCTAGATTGTTCAAATTCTTTTCTGCATCCTTCATGTCCTTATTGATTTGGTCCATCCCTTCTTCGATACGCTCCAGTTGTTCTGATTACCAACACATTGTCATATTTCCCAGCAAAAGGACGAAAGCACGTGAGAGAGAAGAAGAAAAAGAGAGAGCAGGAGTAGGGACGGGGGGGGAAGTAGAGAGGGGGAACAAAGGAGAAAAGACAAAAAAAAGGCATTGACTGTGACAAGAGAGACATTAGACATCACCACCACCACCAGCACTGGACACTCAAGAGCTCAGAGCCCCTGCTGGTACCTACTTTTCAATACAGGGGCATATCAGCCCACAGCATACTCCTACATCTTTTAAATTTTTCTCGGCATCCTTCAGGTCTGCGTTCACTTTGTTCATGCCCTCCTCCACACGGTCAAGTTGCTCTGGTGAGGACAAAGGCATGAGAGGCAGTGAAGTAAAGTTTTAAAGGTTGCGGGTTTGTTTTACGGGCGGGTTGGCGCTCTATACGCTACGGTGCAAAGAGGCAAACAAAAGTTGTATTTGGCGAGATGCAGAAGGCAAAGCAGGCACTAGGCATTCAAAGAGAGATTTAAGAAGTGGTATTTGTGGATCTATTTGTTTTGAATCCCCAGCGTTTTGTTTCTTACCTCCACCCAAAGCGTAGATTGCTATTTGCTACATCACACCCATGTGACCCTGTTATTACACCCCTATTACATTGTTATTACAGCTGTATTACACACATATTACTATGTTATTCCACCCATGTTACACTTATATTAAACCAATACTACATTGTTAATACACTGATTCAACACATACTTGTCAACCCTCCCGATTTTTGTGGGAGACTCCCGATTTCATTGCCCTCTCCCGGTTTCCTCCCGGGGTCATATTTCTCCCGATTTCTGACAAAATCAGATTTACACACGACTGTTTCCACTCGGACTTTAATACAGCTACACCATTGTTTGGTTTCCATGGTAACACGTCTCTTTAGTAGCGCGCGCAACTCAAAGTCTGAGAGGGTGAGGCAGATATTCACAGAAAACAGAACAAGAATCGACAACTACTCTACTCTCTGCTCACTCCTTTCCTGTAAAATACAGGTCCAGCCCACACATATGCTCCATCAAGGACGGTGCTACAGGCCGCAAGGCAGTGCACTTACAACTACAATAAGCATGTTAATGTTAATCTAACAGCTCCGGCGATCCACTAGCACCCCCCCCCCCCCCTCCCCAATTTTGCATTTTGAAATGCTCCCGATTTCTGAGGTCTAAAGGTTGGCAAGTATGATTCAACACCCACAGATTTTTCACTATTATTACACCCATATTGCACTGTTCTTACACCCATATTGCACTGTTCTTACACCTGTATTACACCCATATTCTACTGTTATTACACCCATATTGCACTGTTCTTACACCTGTATAACACCCATATTATACCCATGTAGTACTGTGATTACACATATATTACACTGCTATTTCACCCATTTTACACAAGGACAAAGCCTGTTTATGACTGTATCCCCCAGGACACAGAAACCATTTAAGGGTTAAACAACTTCACATCAGTGGGAGAAGCAATAGAGCATTTGAAGCAATTGAATCAACGAGCAACAAATCAATTAACAAATCATGAATGAAGTGCAATTGAAAGCACCGTTTGGGCACGAGAAGTGGCTTCCTTACTGATAGCGCACAGAGCTATAAAAAGCTCTGGTTCAAGGTCAGATCCTCTCTCCTAATGGTTATAGGAGAGGATAGCAGTAATCTCCATCAGTGGGAAGGGGCACTTTGTCTTCCGGGAGGAAATACTGCTAAGGTTTGATTAGTCACATTAAAGTGCAGAGGACACAGATGGTCATACAACACTGGCTGCAGATTTACAGAAATGACTGCTACTGATTGTTAAAGGGATGGTTTTAAATTGGGTACATTTCTCTAATCAGTGCATTACCTACAGCTTTGGTTTTAAATAAACAGACAGGAGTAGCAGCAGGAAGCAAATACCGTGGATGCAAAACACATTTTAGCAACCCTTAAACAAAGGATCACCAAATAGACAAATATGAGTTTAAGTGTCAATATATATTTAGACTATTTTCACTGGCTTACCTTGCCTTAAAACAGCTTAACAGTCTATCTTTAAATCTACCAGACTCCATTGACAAAAACAGTTACTTTACCTCACAGAATACACAGTTGCTGATCTAACGCTGCTTTTTTAGTTAGTTCCACGACACGAATGTCACATAACAACATAACCAAACTACCTACTGTAATTGTGGCATCAGTAGATTTGCAACCCCTTTATTCTGCAAGGTAAACTATTTTATTCAAAGGAGTCTGGTGGCTTTTCAGAGAGCATTGAACTGCTTTAGTTTCCCGTTTGAAAAGGCTGTCTGACTAAAAATATACTAAATATAGCTAAAATATAAACAGTTTTTTAACCTTTTTTTACGTGTTTAAAATTAGATTTGCCACGGCAGGATAACGCTTATGTTCTATGCTCGTATTTCTGTCTGTTTCTCCAAACTTTGCCATCTACATACACTGACTGTTAGGGGGGGTGTAACGGTATCCGTATCCGTACATGCAGTCACACAACGAATACGCGTTTTTTTTAACGAGTGTGAAAAAAGTCTGTCATTCAGGGCAGTATCCACTACACTATATATAATCCAGGGGGCGGTATTGCGCCTAAAAGCTGTTTGCCAGCCGCCCTTAAACAACAAATGAAGAAGAAGAAGAAAACACATTAAAACGCCCTTATGGAATAGTAGAGGACCCTGGCTTTTATTGATTGTGATTGAAAGTTATTGAAACACTTTCTTATTATTTATTTTGTAATATTTTCAAGACATTCTTTTTAGTTTTACAGCTTGATGAAACCTTTTTGTTTCAGCCATTATAGATAATACGGTGGTACTGTTTGTGGTTTGTTTTTAACTGTGTAATAAAGTTCATTATTCAAAATGTTAGAGTTCCCTATTTTTATACTGAAACTTGAAAAAACAAAACTGGATTTATACATCTGGGACTTTTTTTTTGCTTTTTCTTGTTGTACCGAACCCGTACCGAACCGTGGCCCCCAAACCGAGGTACGTACCGAACCGTGGATTCTGTGAACCGTTACACCCCAACTGACTACTCATAAGAACCTTGAACAACCCCACTTCAAAACCTCCAAACTATCCCTTTAATTTAATTTAGCCTGATAGTAAATCACAACCGAAGCTGCGAACCCATCTGCTGGGTTCAAGCAGAAGTCAGATCAGTTACTAAACCCGGTGAGTTATCTATAGCCAATCCCAAAATATAAGACAGCAACGTTTGTCCTCGGGAGGTCAAATAATCAGTGCCATCATCTAATTTAATACAGACACAGAGAGTAAACAAATTACTAATATATCAACCCAGTCTCACGGCATTTCGTTTTATAGTCACAAAATAAATGTAATCTATTGATTTGTAACGTATTTCTGTCCGGTCGGGTTTTGGAAAACTGGAAGCTGTGTGGTTCATAAAAACATTTTCTTACTCAATATCAAGCCACGATTATTGTTTTTATTTTAAATAGTATAATGTCTGACTTTTTTTGCCGTCCGTGAGGAAAATAAATTGAGCTCAGAGCTGCAGAATACTGAAATCTGTATTTTTTTTTTTAAATGTTCCTTCTAATTTGTTATTATTTGGTGCAGGCACGAAACATACTACCAATAGAAATACATTGCTTTTAAAATCGTTCTGTGTGACACGAACCAATAGATTACATTTCGTGGCTATAACACGAAATGCCATGAGACTGGGTTGAACATATAAGCAAAAAATTAAGGCAACAAAGACATTTTCTACAGGCTTCTCTTTACTTAACTTTCATTTGATTTAAATCTCTTTCTTCAAGTTAACTGGCACTAGAAATTACTTCACAATCAGCAGTTTATTGGAATAAACATGGTTTATGTTGTAGGATAATGTGCACATTTTCAAAGAAATGTAAACAAATATATAAATATTTTATTTCTATTTTATATTTTCGTATGTTCGACATTGTACTTAAACCTCTCATTTTTTAATAAAAATATTTATTTGATATTATTGTATTTGATATTATTTTAGATTAAAATAGAGCAACTGTTACAAAACCCAATTCCCATGGGTAAATAAATGATTCTGATTGACTCTGATTACACTATAGCAAAAGCTGTTTCTGACACTGAGTGCAAATCTGACATCCGTTAAAAGCTGAGGAGAGAGGATCAGGAGGAAGGATGAATTTTCAGCTAACTGTATGTTACAGTAGACGACAACTAAATGGCTTTTTAGCAGTAATCCCATGCAGAGGGAAGGATTGTGTGGAGAGAGGACGTGAGAGGAAGAGAGAGAAATTGTTTATCTCCTCAGCTTCGACCAGTCCTTTGAGGATTACCGTGTGAAAGACTTAACCACTGATTCACTGATTCAACTGACTTCAACTGATTCACATCAACCAGGAATAACTAAAACAAGCCTTTTTAAAAACAGATATAATGTTGTTTAGCTAGGAGCAACACAGGTGTGGTTTGTGAAATCTTTTATAAGCAATAATGGCTTTTTTTTGTTCGTGCCCCTTCCCTTCCTTTCTTTGTCTTTTTAATTAATGTCTAAATAATTACAGTAAACTAAAAGCTACCAGCAGCTTTGATACAAAAAGGTAAAATGGCATTGTTTTGTGTGAACAGAAATGTGTTTTTAATCAGTTTTCAGGGTATTGGTTTTCAGATTATCTTTGAACATATAGTGAGACTAGCTGTATCCCCGTTTCGAGTGTTTATGCTAAACTAAGCTAACGGCTACCTAGCTCTGGCACTATTGAATGTACAGACATGAGAATATTACAGATCTTCTATTAAAACTTACAGTAAGACAGCATATTTTTCTAATATTAATTAAACTAAAACAGTCAGCAGTCATCTGTATAGAAAGTAATTTGAGGATTAGCAGTTCTAACTTACTGTTTTCAGTGTTTGTGCTAAGCTAACCGCTAGCTAGCTCTGGCTCCATATATACATTTTCAGCAAGACATCAAATAGGCATATCTTCCCAAATCTCTAAATATTCAATATGT